TGGTTTTGTAGTGCATCCCTCTCAGGTTGCTGGTTATTGAACACGAGTGAAAGAAGTCTCCTAAACATCGCAAGCATTTTCCCAGCCGCATAATTTTCTCGCCGGTTTAACAAGTTTTTGCTTATTGCATGCACTTTCAAAGTGAATGACAGCAGACATGGCATCTGTCAAGCGGAAACTCCTCTACATTAACCGCTTTCACAACAGTCCATCTTGAAGCTCTCAGGGAGGAATCCTAAATCCATTCCTGGGTGAGCACGAGAAACCCGGGGTGGCAAGAGAATCGTATATCGCCCGCCCGTGGGCGCCGCGTGCGACGCCGCGCACGCAACTGACTATGGTTTTAGGTGGTGTAGGTTGAGAATAGACAATGTATGACCAAAAATAGACATAAGTGTCTATAATGTCCTTGTTACATGAAATCCGATGCTCCAATCGAAAGGGTAGTGCAAATTAAGGCGAACGTCGCGCCCACTGCCGCGCGCGACGAAGCGGCAACTTACGATTCTCCTGCCCGATTCTGCCAGAAACCCGGAACTCGAGTGATAGAATGGACCCCTGACGCTCTTTATACTCGATGTCTTGGAAGGGGCAATGTTGACTTTCTTCATTCTGCAGGTTTCTTTTGCCTTTTCATGTAAAACAACAGGTCTCATTTTGGTGACCCCCCCCCTAGAACAAAGAGCGCCCATCTTTTTTCTTCACGTGATGCGGTAATTGCGACTACAGCTAGCATGTATTGACGTTAATGGAAAAATAAAAATTCATGAAATAAAAATAACAGACTGAAGAAAGCAAAACTTACCAGATGACTCGGATTTCCACGTTTATCGTTGAAATCGAAAAATTGTGGAATAACGATAACCATACAGAGAAGTACGCCTACCGTTGACACTACCCATAGAACCATCATTTTGTATTTGTACTGAAAAATTGTGATTATAAAATTTCTTTAAAAACTGAGAGTTCCTATACAGCTGCTTGATCTACCATTTTACCCCCCCCCTCCGCCCACTCCCGCTCTGAGGCCTGTACAAACCACAAAATTAGTGCTTCTTAGTGGGCGCCGGTGTCATTAAACTCTAGCCTAGTAAAACAACTCCGATAAGAACCGCGGAATTTTTTCGGGTGCCAGCGGCCGATAAGAACTGCCGAATTTCCCCGGGTGCCGCCGGGTTGCGCAATAAAGCGTGACAACCCGGAACCCCCAGCGACTCCGCCCGTCCCGATAAAACAGCTCACCAACCATTTCAAGCTGATGCTGCTCTTCGGGTGACCAGTCGAATCCTGGCACATTCTTCTTTACAGTGTCATCAAACATTCGGTAGGCGATCGGCAGGATCAAAGCTGCCGATTTGTAGTAGGCTTCACTATAATGATCCCTTTTTCATCAAAAGGCAACAGAAATATGAAGAAATTTCACCATGAATTGGTTAATGAAATTATAACACTTAACAAAAAAAACAAAAAAGACAAACGAACATAAACAAACCACAACGTCGTAGTAAACTATCCCCAATGTATCAATAAAATAAAAGAAAATGAGCGGGAATATTTGGAAAGAAAATTGAACCAAAGCACTCAGATGAATAGCACAATATGTATGTACCTAAGGGCTGCTCGTATTGTTTACACGTTCCCGATCTCCCCCCTTGGCGTACCGAAAACTACCTGACCAATCCAGCGGGGATAGTTTTTTGGTCGCTGGAGGGGATGAGGGATAGTGTTTGGTCATTTTACGGGTATTTTGGGAAGGCCACGCAGTAATATGTACTGCTGCGGTGCTGGTGATGCACACTTCGTGAAGTTTAGCTGGCAGCTAATAAAAAAATAAGAAAAAAAATCATAATCAATAATAATAATAAATAATAATGAAAACAAAAACAATACGTAATAATAAGTAGTAATAGTAAAATGTCATGCTGCACTTGTTACTTCATATGTGGCCGGGAGCAAACGTCGAGGAACAATGTTCTCAGTACTTTCTGGAATGAGACATGTATGTGACCTCCATGAGAGCTCGTAAAGACGATTTGATGCTCAGTCAGTCTGACTAATGACTAACAAGGTCGAGCTACCACTATTCGTTATTAAAGCATAACTGTCTTTTCAAAGTTCTTTGAATGCTGCCATGGAGATTGAAGTAGAGGTTCAAAGGCGCGCTCCACGCTGATCGTGAGGGGAGTTGGGTCCATCATTGTGTTCTCTTGCTAGAGCACCCCTCTTTCCTTCTCCGAATTGTCGAGGACGAGGGCTGGGTCAATGAAGCAAGGGCAGTGGACGTCTGGCTCCACCCGTAGGACGAACGTGGAGTATACGGCTCAGAATTCCATTGTGTCAATGAGATGCTTTTTTTCTAGCAACTGAGTCATAGCGCAAAAAGGTTGAAGGTTCTCAAAGGACGTCGAACCCTTTTGAGATATGCCACGCACCCTATTTTGATTCAGAATCTTGGTTTGGATCGCATAGTTGACCAACAAAATGAAATATAGGGTCAAGAGATAGGTGAGGTCGGTGCTCTTCTCCTATTTGACAAGCATTTCCTCCAACTGGAGAGTAAGAGTCGTTAGAACTGAAATACTAGGCACGTCCTTCCGCTAGAGAAACAAATACGATCCCCTCCCAAATTCTTCCTCTGGAACGACCCCCCTTCTCAAACATTCTATCATCCGTCGATGGGGGGAGGGCGGGAGAACGACGTGTTC